TAATGACGGTCAGGGAAGGTACTCCGAGGGCCTTCGGCCGAAGGCCATCGGACGGCGCTAGTAGGCCTGTGTAAATTACTCGAGGTTATATAGTCAGACGGTCCCCAGGACCTACAAGTAGTAGAATTCACCATGTTCCTCCGTTGAGTCGCCTCGGGGCTGCAAAAATCTCTTGGCGTCGCCGTCCGGTTTTCACCCTTTCGATTCGCATCCTATCTCTCCCTATATTTCCACCGTCATGGCTCCTCCAATGGATGCCCTCGCCATCTCCGCAGCGGTCTTTCAGAAGGACGCTACCGCACACTCGACAGAGGTCTTGGAGGCATGGCACGAGCTGAAGACCATCGTAGAGAGACATGAGGGCTTGATTCGCAAACGGTGGCAAAAGAAGAACTCCCAAAAGCAGCGGGAGATTCTCCTTGCGGTGATGCCTGATATGCCCCCCAACCGCCGGCCAGATTTTGCAGCTTTGCGTAAAGATGCTGAGCGTCTTATGCACGGCCACCTACCGGAAGCCAATCGGTCCAAAAATGAATATTTCTGGCCGTCAATCAACCTCGCGGATCTACTAGAAGGAAACACGCTGCCTCTGTATATCAATTCCCGAGGACGCCATGAGCCAAGTCTATTTTCCGTTTTGGACTACGAGGCTTCACGAGTGGGACGCCGCAGCTCCGCCATTCCGGTTCCGACTCTTGAGGAATACATTATGCTCCTTGACGGACGGACTGTTGACACGTATGGGAGGGTAGTAGCTCTCAAAGATGCCTCGACAATTCCCTCTACAGAGCGTGTGTTTACACCTGGGGCTGGTCTCATAGTGCTACAAACCCAAAAAGGAATATACAGCTTCCTCAACAAATGTTGTAAACGAATCCTCCACGATATGGACCCTCTGGCTGGCGGCGAGGTTGTGGCCCCACCGCCGCTGGACCCAAGCATCACTGGCCCTGGAGATCTCCTCAGCTGGGGTGCCCTACGCAGGCAAGCACCGTTTGGGGTTCCCACCAAACCCGACTTGAAAAGACTATCAATTCTGATTACTGCTAAGTATGAGGCAATTGAGGATCATATTTGGGCTTTAAGAGAAGATCCAAGCTATCTGGAGGAGACCATAACGGATTGGACCGAGCATCAAGTGGAGCAGGTTCTAGACCTGGAGGGGAAATCCATGCTGGACCCGTGCAATCCTACCGACCGTCAAATGTTGCGTAAAAAAGCGTGCGCGGAAATCGTCCGCTGCGCGTACATTGATCTCGTCTCGTGGCATGGCACTCTTCAGCTACTCACTGACTTGGCGGCGCTGATGGGTCAACAAGATATGGTGATTCGGGAACCCACGGCGTATCTACAGATGCTTCAATTTTCACTCCGAGCAATCAGTCAACGCAAAATAAGAATGCTGAAGAGCGGCGTCCCTGCTTCTCCGGAGCTTCGTCATGGTTTTTGTCGTCATCAAATGAAGGATAACCAATGGCATATCGGCTGGAAATATCCCAAAGAACAGCTTTACGATCATTTGATATTCCTATTCCGAAATATGTGGAACGACAAGGACAGTGAAGTCCTTGGATTGTCGAACTTGATAGACGAGCTGGATCGACTGATCGACACAGATCCGAAACAAAAAAACCGGTTATCTCGGTGGAGTTTGGAAGTCCTTTCTGATCTCGGTCTCGCCGTACAGGTTGAGCACGAGCTCGACCACGACTTGCATTTCATGCATGCTATCCATTCGGACCTTGGGCTTTCTCGACAAAAGACTAGGGAAGAATTCCGAAGGCGATTTCCAACGTTTGAATTACTCGACAAGTTCGAAGAAGATGCGGTTCCCCCCATGCAGGACAACCCTCACTTTGACTATCCATCTGATAGGCGTCGCACCGCACCGCGAGTCGAGAAGATGCGCAAAGCAGAGCGGGAACTAGATCTATTTTGGCAGAGAATCGACAAACATTTCGCCGATAAGGCCGGTAAAGTCCCTCATGAAGCCTTTCGAGAGTGCTTTCGTGGACTTCGTTCGATACAACGCACGCCGGAATGGATAGAGGTGTCAAAAGTTGATAAGTCGATGGAAAGCGGAGACAGCCATTCGATATCGTCGGGACCATCTCTGCCGTGGGACACGAATGACCTCCGCCAGCAACTGCCAAAAGGGGAGCTTCCCAAGCAATCGAAGAAAAAAGAGAAAACGCGAAAAGCCGCGTCGAACTCTGCGCAGCACCTCCCTGAAGTAGGCGAAGCTGATCCTCGAGACTTGCCCGCCGTCGCCCGAATAACGGTGAGCCCCAAGGCTTTCAAGATTTTCTCCACTTTATTCCCCTTACCAGGCCAATCCGACAGTTCACACGAGTTTCGATGGCAAAACTTTCGCCAGGCAATGGGAGAGGCTGGGTTTCAATCCGAAAAACTCTATGGATCGGTTTGGCTTTTTACGTCAACGAAGCCCAGCCTAGAGCGCCCTATTAGTATCCATGATCTCCATAGCACATCTAAAATTCCGATCAGAGTAGCTAGGTATTGGGCTCGTCGACTTGGCCGAGTATACGGATGGCATAATGGGACGTTTCAAGTGAAATAACTGACGTTACACACCGGCTTTGTGCCATACTTGTGTAAAGAAAATCTCTCTCTCTCTCTCTCTCTCTCTCTCTCTCTCTCTCT